CCGTAAAACAAAATAAACCAAACCAATCTAAACCAAAGAATACATACTCTATTCATACAAATCTATCCTAAAAATGTTTTTGGCATTAAATAACCCATTGAAGTTGATATGCCATAAAACAAAATAAACCAAACCAATCTAAACCAAATAATACATACTCTATTCATACAAATCTATCCTAAAAATGTTGTCGGCATTAAATAACCCATTGAGGTTGATATGCTGTTAAACAAAATAAACCAAATCAAACCAATAATTAATTGCAGTTTTTTCAAAACTACTCTCTGCCACTGTCATATCTTTCAGTTCATGAAAGAGTTGGAACTCAGCTGTATCTAAATAAAGTAACCAGGATACAACATTCTAAGTTTCAAAGGTGCACTAAGGAACATCTGAAATCTGTCCTTTTTATCTCCTTTGCATGTGCTATCTTTATTTCCTAAACTTAGTTCCAGACGGTAATGACATCACAACACTAGCTACCAGTGTTTGAAAATTGAAGTCCAGACATTTGCAGTTTAGAGATGGAAGCAAAAAAAAGTATGCTTCATAATAAATGTTAGTCAAATGCAAAAAAGTCAGATGTTGTCTACAAACTAAATTCCCATCTACACTTCAAAAATCCTACAAAGATGTGGAACTATGAAATAAGTTTACATAAGTTGTGTAAAGTTAAAATTGACATTTCAAGATAACAAAACAAGGCATATAAATTATTATTAAGAATAAAAAAATACATTTTTTTTTCTAATCATATCACCCTATGCAAGGCAGTAAAGCCAGTAAGATGCAAAGGCTTACTGAGTGTGAAAGAATAAGAAAAAAAGAGAAACATTAGGGAGTGAATACAATAGAAGAGTAATCAAGAAGACAGCAGATAACGATAGACATTACATTTAAATTTTTGAAGATCAAAGTTGGCTGGAAAGCATGGAACTGGAAGAGAGTTCCACAAGTGAGAAGTGTGAGAAAAACTGTTAGCATAGAACTTACAGTTACATCTAGCCAATTCAGCTATGAATTTATGAAACCTTGTTGCCAATCTAGTACCACACTTACATTCATAAAGTCTAGATATAGTGAAGAGTTTGTCCGAACAATTATCATGAAAGTATTTATAGAAAAGGCACAGAGAACAGAGAAGCTATATTATGATGGTGAGAAAGTGACTGAAGCCAAGATGCCAGGTCATGACCAATAATATTGCTGATTATTAACCTAATTTAACATTAACCATCAGAATTCTTTATTTTATTGTTAGGTAAGTGTTCATTTTCTAGAGTGTTCTTGCTGATTTTTAAAGGATAGATAAATAAAAAGGTTTTAGTTTGAAAAAATCAAATTAAAAGCCCAATATTAAAAAATGAATTTTTTTGTCAGTTTCAAAAATGTAAATATGTAAAAATAGGTTTAAATTTTATTGCCAGTATGATCATTTTAAAACAATTTATGATCATTCTGAAAGGCCCTGATGGATTCATAATGACAAATAAAGGGTTGTTTAATGATTTGAAGTACTGAGGGAGTCAAGAAGGAATAAAAATGCCAAGTGAAAAAAATATTATAGAAGACAAGTTAATAAGACTGAAATCTGATGGAAGAAAGTTTGGTTTTAAAATATTAACCAGAACCTATAAAATGTTCATAAGAATGGCAACAGTATGAATTAAACCCAAAATAAATCTAGTAAAATTATTCCTGAGATGAGATATTATGTATACTATTTACATTATTTGGACTATTGTCCTCATCTTTGTCACCATATTTATTACAACATTTCGGCCTTTCAGTATCTGTCTATATTTCTGAGATGAGGTATTATGTATACTATTTACATTATTCAGACTATTGTCCTCATCTTTGTCGCCATATTTATCACAACGTTTCGACCATTGTATGCTCCGGCCTTCTTCAGGTGGGTGGAATGTCAAACTGAACCTTTATCTTCTGTGCCATGTGTTCACATGTCACAGTGGATGAAGGCGTTAGTTAGATCCAGTGACAGGACGCAAAAGAGTATGAGTTCAGTACCCAGTTAGGTTTCATATTGCGTGTTATTAGCTATGATATAACCTTTATGGCAGCGAATTTTGGACAATCTCAAAGAAGAGACTCAAGGCAATGGAGGTATGGTTCTACAGAAGGATGCTAAGGATAGCATGGACCAAGTGTGTGAGCAATGATGAGGTTTTGGGGAGGATGCAAACAAGGAGGTAACTTATACTTAACATCAAGAAGAGGCAACTGAAATTTCTGGGATGCATAATGAGAAAAGAGGGCTTGGAGAATCTGATACTCACTGGGTGAATAGAGGGAAAGAGAGATAAAGGAAAGCAATGCATGACATACCTAGCAGGCTTGAGCAAGTAGTTGACAGAACAAGGCCTGGTGGGGGGATAACAAAGGGACAAAACTTACTGAGAGCTACAATGGATAGGGGGAAGTGGAGAGCCATGATCGCCAACATCCTGAAGGGAGACGGCATATAAAAGAAGAAATTGAGGACTGAAGTTTCTCTATCCCACTCCTTATATCCAAGGAAGTTGCAGTCACAGGATTAATTGGGAAATGTTTGTTTAGCATATTGTCCAGCTAAAATCATATAGATGGCTTTCCAAAATGACTGGACCAAAATCTGACCTAATGTACTTTTTAAACACCCCGTGTCTGGTTTGAAGCACTTTTTAAACATAAACATATGCATTGGAAATATGAAGTTCTTTGTTTGGAGATAATATCCATCAATGTTATTCCCTCAGATGGATATCTATATGGGTAAAAAAGCACACAGATACATAGTTTGCACAGAGATTTCATAGAGAGTTGCACCAAGACACGACACAGTACAGTTCATATAATTTTTTGCTGCAAGAGTGATCTGTCTTTCTATCATTCTCTCCACAAGGCGAAAGAAATCCTCATATACAGGCATAAACGTCTAACCTAGCAGTTAGCCCTTTCTTGATACTTAAAGATCTTAGTAGACGATAAACCAAGGGTGATTGTAACATTTTGTCAGCCTATGGTATTAGATTATTTTTTAACTTTACATTGGCATTTATTTTCATTCCCCCCTGGTAATCTTTTTGCCTTTTGAGGAAACATCCAATGAAAAGAAAACCATAGTTCACTGAAATATACAAAAGAATGCATAAAAAGATCACATTCCACTGAGTACACAACAAGACACTAAATGACCCCAGACTAGAAACAGGCGAAAATATCAAATGGACAAAAAACACCTACAAAACATTACACTTCACTTGGTATTTTTTGATGTTAGTGATGATAAAGGGTAAAATTTGACATGGCAACTGATTACAGGTGAATATTTGGTACCAACCATGTGTGTATGTTTGTGTATGAGAGTGGTTAGAACGTTCACTTTCTGACCATGAGACCCAGGTTCGAATATTACCATGGTCGATTTGTCAGGAAGGAGACTTCCTGATGTTATCAGTCTGGAGGGGGGTGTTCGATCCCAGCGTGCGGCACCTTTGGAAAGTGCCTGAAAACCATACCACGGGTTGACCCAAGCCTTGTGAGTGAAATCGGATAGACAGAATACTTGGGGCCACCAATAGCTGTGCTAGCACAAAGTCTCATGTCATTGTGACCGAGGGTTTGAGTGTGCTGCTATTGTTCAGATTGTTGATCATTCCCAGAAACTGTAACTAAGGTCTGCTCAGCATACTTGCAGTATAAACCACAGGTTGGCTCTGTGGGTGTTGAACAAACACAAATGTGCCTGAGCAAGCGTCTGCAATAGGAATTGTCTAGCCGACCTAGTAGATGGGTATCCTTGAATATGAGTAGCCAGCTTTTATTATATATAAGTTTTTTGTAGTACAAAATTCAAGGATAGCTAGGAATAAGCATAATTTATATGGCATTTTAATGTATATTTTAAAAGCTAAAAAAACAACCAGTTTCATCCCAGCCTTATCAAGTTTATTTCTGGGATATAAAAAAATAAACATGTAAATTTAATTGATATTAATGATAACCAATGGAGAGAAAAGAAAAAAAAATATATATATATATGAATTTCAAGAAAGCTAGAGTCCAATAACATTCAGATCCAGTAAGTATTCCTTCTGTTTACAGAGGGAAGGCCCACGGCATCTGATATACAAGGACTCTAGAACCTTTAGGTGATATGAGGAGTCTGACCTTGATAAAATAGAAAAACAGTCCACACTAAAATCAAAGACACAATTCCTACTATTTATAACATGTTCTGCAATAGAAGTGCCAGAAGTTTTAATTAGTTGACTTTTCCTGGCATCTGGATTCTATATATATATATATATATATATATATATATATATATATGTATGTATAAACTCCACTTCAATTGTTTTTCACAATTCAAGCATTGAGCAAAAATGCTACTGTGATCTTTGCATGCATTTCTACCACAGTTAATACAGTCTTTACAGTCAGGTGCTTGTAATTTGTAAGGATTGGTCCTACCTTGTCTGCCTGAACACCCACTAGAATGATCTAGTCAGACCTGTAAAAAGAAGGACATAAACCTTCTATTTCACTATTTGAGATGTAGTAGTGACAACATGGAATTTGTCTCCACCAGAGAAGATTACTTTGCTCAGGTTTGGTTAACCTGAGTAAAGTAATCTTCTCTGGTGGAGACAAGACTACTTAATTTAAAACAAACCACTTGGAGATCACACACACACATATGATGACTCAGTGTTTTTCTTTCCTTGTTGGAGCTATATGCATTCACATACATATAATTTTCTTTTACTTCTTTCATTATCTATGTTATTCTTTGTATAGATATATATAAAAAAATCCTCTATCTGTTGAATTCATTTATTTTGAAAGGTATCAACCTCATTATGTCAACCACATCTTTTACAATGTAGCACTTCTCTGCTACAAAGTGATGACCAATGGCAAATATGTCTATTGCAATCCTCTAGCACCTGCTCTTTAACAATTCACAAATATTTTGAGGCTTACTCCTACATCACATTGAAGCACCAGTTCCCATGCAAACACCAAAGTTAAGCAACATCAAGCTTGGTTAGTACCTAGATGGGTAACCATTTGGGAATACCAGGTTTTGTAAGCTTGGATGAGTGAGTGCTGTAATGGATAATGGCTCAGAATTGCTGATGTCCAATTCCTGTTGGGTTCATTATATTCACTTACACACAAATACCATTGGAAAAAACCTGAATCCAGTTCTCCCCCTGCTGTGGGTTCATTAGTAAAACTTGTATTACTGAATCATTATTATCTCAAAAAAATATTTTTTAAATAAAAAAAAAAACAATTTTTGGCTTTAAATAACCTGCTAAGTTTTGATAAACTATAGAAAACAAATCAATCATTATTATGACTAAAACCAGAAACTCCTTGGCTTGTCCCTTGCTAAATCAGGGCTTGTACCAGTGCACACTGTGCCTTTGTTGTTGAAATATTTTAAAGATTGGTGAATTTGTAATTGCAACACAGAGAGCTTTTGATGCTCATTTCATGTTATGTCAGGATGATGCTGTTCCAGATAGAAAATTGATACTGCTATGGGTTGAAAATTTAAAAGAAACCACTTCAAAGATCTGAAAGCGCTTGAACCCCAGAAAATGTCCAGGATTTAGAAATCATTTACAATAGAGTATGGTGAATAGAGCCCACCATTTGGAAGGTGTCATTTTTTAAACCAAATGAATAAAAACTGTAGCCCTTTGTTTAAACAACAATAAAATAAACTTTTTAATAGCAGTTACCATCATCTTTTTGTCAACCTTTAAAATATGGGAGGTGTTTCTGCTGCACTCTGTATAAAGGAATTACAAACCAATATTAAAAAATCAATTTGCGAGTTTCAAAAGTATAAATAAACAATTTTCATTTGATTTTCATGTGTTTGTTTTTTTTAATTTTATGCAAAATAAGTTATTGACTGAGCAATCATATGTTGATTTCAACTGCACATCTCTGAGGTTAAGTTCTCTATTTGTCAACTGGAATACAAGTTGAGAATCATTTACCCCAAATTCTTGGGACCAAAAGTGTTTTGGTTTTCAGATATTTTTCCAGATTTTGGAATACAAGGTATTTAATTTGTATATAGCATCTATAAAATGGAACCCAAGCATAAGCATGATATCTCTTTACATTTCATAACACAGTTTATATGTATACCCTGAAGGTAGTTTTATATCGGCAGATGCTTTATCACCACACACCTTTAAATATTGAATGCCATGCTTTTCTCAGATTTCTGTAAATAGCCTGTTGAATATTCAGTTACCTTTAATATTTAGTTTGTCATCATAGATTTTCGCCCATTTCAGGTAAGCAGCATATATTCACTCCAACGCTGACAAATCCACTCCATCATAACATGATCAAGATCATCATTTTTTTGCTCTGTGCAGTGTTTTTCTATTTTTCATTAATTTTTGTTCATCACTTTCAGCATAAAACTTTAGTAACTTCTGTTTCCTTAGGTCTTTTTTTATAGTGGTTGTTCCGATGCCAAACTCCTCAGCTTCACACTTACACCCTTGTCTAGTTTTCCCAACAGTTTGAAATTCTGTGATATTGATAAACATAAATGCTTTCTTTTTTATTTTCACTACCCACATGGGCATCTGTTGAAGTTTCTGACATTTTGAATAATATCTTTACTGAGCGTGAAACACCTGGTAAGTAATTCATGAACGAAGGAATTGATGTGACAATGACTAACAGTGTAGGCTATGTATCTGGGCTGGGAAGCACCCATCCAAGGCAGATGAGGTCACTTACAACAGCTGCAAATCACCTAAGAATCTTCCTAGTACTTTCTGAAATTTTCCATTTGCAAAATGGAAAAACTTTCAATTTTCGAATTTTGGATAAAGGATAAACTGTATTACTATTTGTAAGATAGGCTTTAATTTTCCTTAACCATTAAATTTCTGGGTGACCCTTTTTCTTATTGTTTTCTCACTGGTGTTTCTTTAGGCAGTCTCATTAAATTACTTTATATACATCTGAATTACGTTTCTGTACAACTCGAAATTCTGGTGACTTGAGTAGAGTTATGAAAAACATTGATGCTTTCCAAGGGAAATAACTTAGAATGGCCCTCGATATCTGTTGGCCTTGTGTTATATATCACACCTAGTGGTTATAATATTGTCTTGTTTAGGCTACACTGTGATGTCATTAGAATTCTCTCTGACCAAATCCAATGGATTTTTTTTTAACACACTTGAGTTCTTTATTTAAGGTATCTTGCCTTGTTCATTTGTGTTACTGGAGGTATCTTATTTACTCCATAACACCTTGCAAGATCTCAAATGAAAATCTATACAACATGATAAAATGGGAACCTTGGAGCGAAAATATCAAAAAATGATTATTATTATCATTATTATAATAAGCAAATAAACTGTTCATGGGAGAAAAAAAACTTTAAAAAAATTGTCCCAATAATAACAAACAAATGAAACCTTGACAAAACAATATTTTTTTTTTTCACTTGAATGAAATTTATTTAAATTATATTTTTTTCATCAGTATAAATATTTTTAAATATCTACTTGCTGTATCAGGAAAGAAATAAAATACATCCTCAAATATAAAGATCATTGAGTCTTATTCAGGGTTGATCTTTTGAAGGCAAAATAATTAAAGGAGCAAAGCCATGAAAAGAGATGATTGCCTCTTATGAAAACGGTAATAAATTGCTTGTTCTTTCCCTTAAACTGCTGGCAGCACCCGCTTACATCTGAGCATCGGGATCGTCATCCTCTCTCATTATTCCCTTTCTCTCCCCTGGTGGTGGTGGTGGCAGAGAATCAAAGAGAGTTTGATGAGGCCATTCATGTAAATTTGATTTTGGTGGACAACTCTGTGTGATGGAGAAGCCTATAAGCTTGTGGCTCAGAGGAGATTTGAGACAGGTGAGATCTGACTGTTGGATGCTTGGTCTATTAAGGTTCACCTTGGCTATTCCAGCCAGACCGGCTTAAACTATTACACTTAACAGAATATAGATTATTGCATGAGCAATCTCTTACATTGATTCCAACTGCATCTGGCCATGACTAAGTTATCTAGATGAAGGCATGATGCAGGACTTGTACAGAGAACTAGAATTTTGATTTGCAAGTTCAGCTTTGATGATACTTAGCCACAAAATTTCTGAACAAGGCCTTTTATCTTGCATAGTTCTAAGGCTTTTCTCGCTGGCAATTCTATTGACAGTCACATTACATGGCTTGTTTTTTTTTATGACTATTGTCCTCATCTTTGTTGTTATACCAACATTCTGGTTGTTGTGCACTTCAGGCTTCATCAGATGCTTGTTTATCTGGGTAATCTTGGGCAAGGGGGGGGGTGTTGGGATTCTGAACTGAACCCTTTATTCAGTCTATGGAGGTAGATTGTTCTTGTCAATGTCTAGGGATATATTGTTTAGTATTTAGTAGTGCTTAGTTATTGGTCACCGCACTCTGGGGATGGTTCATCTCAGTGTTGATGGCATGACAGGTCTTAGCTCTGAAGGTTAGAACTGGTGAAACTAAGCTCGTCAGAACATTTTTACTGTGATGTTCAGCCTGTACAAGGCCCGAGAGCCACTTGAGGTAGAGGGCTACAGATTAAGAGGTACAGATATGTGGGGAAGATAATGGTTAACCCTAGACTTGAACAGGTTAAGGTTGTAGTAATAAAGGAATCATCATCTTGGGAGTCAGTTCCACAAAGCAGCAATTCATTGGAAGAAGCTGCTTGAGGGGGACTTATATTTCACCAATGGAACATGAAGTGAACGAGGGTGGTTCATTACAATTTACGTGGCATGGCTGGTCTTAGTCGTAAAAGTTAGGACTGGAGTGTAATTCATCTATACACACTCCATGTAAATAACAGGAGGCTTATGATATGTCATCTATGAGAAAGAGTTTATAGAGTGGAAAATAATTTGTCACCCACAAGGACACAGAAATGCTTCTGAACTCTATCAAGACTGGAAAGTGAAGCCTGGGCAGCTCCTGCCCATATATAACAGCAGTAATCCATTTTAGGCCTGATCTGGCTCTTGTAAAGATAGAGGATAGCACAAGGAGTCAGGTACTTACTGGTGTGATACAGAGAACCAAAAATCTTTCCAGCATCTTTAATGATGGATTATACATATGAGTTCCACTTGAAGTTTGGGTTGAGTTTAAGGCCAAATAGGTGCTCAAGACATGGGGCCTCTCTGAGGGAACATTCATTCATTGAAATTGGTTTTTCCATGGAAATAGTGATAGAGTTACAAGAGGTTTGCAATGTTCCACCTATAGGAAAGGGCTTGTAGGGTGGAAAATAATTCATAACTTACAAAGCTGAATAAATGATTTTGGTTCAGTTCAGTTCAAAATTTCTTGTAGGTTAACTGGGGCAAAAAGCACCTAATGAAGGCTGGAGAACACAGTGGCTGAAATTTTATGATAGCAACAACAAAGATGAAGACAATGTATAATGTAAATAATGATAACTCCTTGTCCCAGAAATTCAGAGAGTAGATAGTTTTGTTTATCGTCCAGTTCATACTCTTCCCTGGTCTTTTGAACAGGAGTAGAGTTTTATCACTTCCTTCCTGTTTGGGATTGGGTTTCCAGTTCCTTCTAAAGTCTATTTCAACTCTATATTTCTGATGTTGCAGTTTAAACTCAGAAATTTTATTTAATATTTATTTTTCCTCAACAAAAGTAGATATGCTTGCTCATCGTCCAGTTCATACTCCTTTTGAGCAGGAGTAGTGGTTTATCCCTTGTTCCTTCTAAAGTTTTCTCAATCTCTTTCCCTCCCAGTAGCCCCTTGCATCTTAGAGGTGTTGTTACCTTACTAATATTACAAGTAAAACCAGAAATTCTTTATAGTTACTTGACAGAGGTATTCAGAAAGCTTCTTGATGAATCAAGAAAATTTGACTCATAACTTGTGAAATATTAAAGAAAAATTTGTTGTGGGTTCAAACATCCTAAAGTATCTAAAGAGAGTCAAACATCCTAAAGTATCTAAAGAGAGTCAAACATAGCTACGTTCCATTTAATATACTGATGCTGCATCTGTTGGTTTATTTTGT